TGTGTGTGTGTGTGTGTGTGTGTGTGTGTGTGTGTGTGTGTGGCTCAAGGAGGTCAGAAGAGGTTATTAAGTCCCCTGGAACTGGGGTTACAGACAATTGTGAGCTGCCAAGTGGGTGCTGGGACCTGAACTTGAGTCTTCTTCAAGAGCATCAAGCACCCTTACCTGCTGAATCATCCCTTTAGCCCCAATAGAATTTGCTTTGTTTTTGAGACACTGTTTCTCTGTATAACAGCCCTAGTTATCCTGGAACTAGCTCTGTAAACCAGGCTGGCCTCAAACTCACAGAGCTCTGCCTGCCTCTGCCTCCTGAGTACTGGGATTAAAGGAATGCACCACCACTGTCCAGCCCAATATATATATATTTTGAAGTCAAGTTTTAAAAATGATTTATTTATTTATTATGTATATAGTGTTCTGCCTGCATGTATGCATACATGCCAGAAGAGGGCACCAGATCTCATTATAGATGGCTGTGAGTCACCATATGGTTGCTGGGAATTGAACTCAGAGTTTAACCACTGAGTTCAATTCCCAGCAACCACATAATGGTTCACAACCATCCATAATGAGATCTTGTCCCTCTTCTGGCTTGCTGGCATACATGAAGGTAGAACACTGTATATACAATAAATAAATAAAAAGAACTTTAAAAAAATTTAGCATTCTGCCAGGTGTGGTGCATATCTTTAATCCCAGAATTTGTGAGGAAGAGGCAAGTGAATCTCTATGATTTAGAGGCCACCCTGATCTACACAGTGAGTTCCAGGCCAGCCAAGACTACATAGTAAGTCCCTGTCTCAAAAAAATTCTAGCATTCTTGAGGTCAGAGAGCTGGCTTGCTGGGTAAAGGGCCCAGGACCCATGTGATAGAAGAAGAGAAGCGACTGACTTCCAGTCATACACCATAAAATAAAACACACATAATTTAAAAATTTAAAAAATATGTAGTATCAACCGGGCGGTGATGGCGCATGCCTTTAATCCCAGCACTCGGGAGGCAGAGGCAGGCAGATCTCTATTCTAATTTAAATAAAAATGGAGAAAAAACCAAAAAAAAACCCTTTTTAGAAAAACAAAAAAAAAAAAAAAAAAAAAAGAAAAAAAAGCAAAACATAAATAAATAAATAAATAAATAAAGTTTATTAAAAGATATGTAGTATCCTTGGCTGGGATAGAGGGTTAGCCTAGCATTCGTGAGGCTCTGGGTTCAATATCCGGCATTGTATGTATGTATTGAGTGACCTGTAATCCCAGCACTAGGAAGCAGAGGCAAATGAATCCTAAGTCCATGTCATTCTTGGCTACATACCTAGATCAAAGATAGCCTAGGCCACATGAGACCTTTTCTCAAAAAGGAGGAAGAAGAGAGGAGGGGGGAAGAAAAAAATACAAAAAAAAGGAAGCTGGGCTGTGGGGGGCACACCTTTAATCCCAGTACTTGGGAGTAGAGGCCGGAGGATCTCTGTGAGTTTAAGGCCAAGCCTGGTCTACAGAGCAAGTTCCAGGACAGCCAGGGCTATACAAGAAAAACCTGTCTTGAAAAACAAAACCAACACAAAAAGACAAATCTAGCATTGTTCTTGTGACTAGACCTGTTACAGATCTTATGCCAGTTAGAGTTTAAGCCTTGGTTTAATACATTGTAACACCGCATCAAAGCAGGAAACACAACTATATTAAGTATTGCATATGTTACTTTTCCCTTTACCAACGAGGAAACACCTAACAAAAGCAACCTAAGGAAGAAAGAGGGTTTGTTTTTTTTTGTTGTTGTTGTTTTTTGGATCCTGTTTATAGAGTCAAGGCCATCATGGAGGGGAAGGCTGAGGGGCGCAGAAACAGGAGGTGTCTGGCCACATTGCCTCTGCAGTCAGGAAGCAGGGGAAGGGAGGGAGACAGACAGACAGAAAGACAGACAGACAGACAGACAGACAGACAAGGAGGGAGGGACAGAGGGAGATCATTTAGTTCCATCCATGACCCCTGTCCCTTAGAGCAGAGGTTCCCAACCTGTAGGTTTCAACACCACAAGGGTCTCATCAGCTATCCTGTGTATCACATATTTACATTATGATTTATAACAGTAGCAAAATTACAGTTATGAAGTAACAATGAAATAATTTATGGCACATGCCTTTAATTGTAGGGAGATACCCTAGCCTCACCCAATAGTCCTGGGACAGGTGCCAGGTGGACCTGGGACTCACCCATAAGGTCGGGGTGAAGGAAAGCCGGGGTGACATAAGGGAAGGTTCTTAAGGGCTGCACGTGGAGACCCTAGCCCCTTCTCTCTGGCCGCGCTAGCTGGATTCCTGTGACCTCGCTCTGGCCTGCGTTTTGCCCTGGTGCTTTCTTGAATAAAGAAATCTTACCATCACGGACTACAGTTCATCTCTGGACTCACGCGGTAATCTTAAGAGTTGGCGCCCAACGTGGGGCATGAACCCACGACCCTGAGATTAAGAGTCTCATGCTCTACCGACTGAACCGGGTGCACGTGGTAATTTTAAGATTTAACGTCACCACTCCGGAGATCAAGGCTAGCCTGGTCTACAAAGTGAGTTCCAGGACAGCCAGGACTGTTACACAGAGGATCCCTGTCTTGAAAAAACAAAACAAAACAAAATAAA